ATCATTAGATACCATCGCCTCTATAACGATAAAAGCGCCTCAGTTGGCGTAAACATGCATCAATGCTGTTCAACGCAGTGGTATTAGTAAATATCATTACGAACAAGAAAAGCGGTTACGCGAACAGCGACTCAACTGAACGACACAAATGTCAGGTTCTTTGCAAGGAAGGCCTAACATGGCCAAGAAATATCGCAGCAGCTATTGTTTAAGCCCGAAATGCATGAGGTTGGTCATAGTAAGACGGCAAGGAACGGGAGCAGTGTGGATCAGTCCTATCGAGCGACGCACTACCTTATCTGGTAATGCGGCCGGCATGAGCGCATCACTTTTGATAGGGACACTCGTGCGTCGGGGTCCCGCACTTTGGTCAACTGCTTCTGCAAGTGTGGTTTGACCTAAGGACAAGATGAGCAATGCCCAACGGGAGCCGCTCTGTCTTGTACGCGGATCGATAAGTAAGCCACAAGTAATCTTTCTGGGCTGCTCAGAGTCTCACTGGATTTCGCATAGATATCGACGAGTTTTTCCATGGTATGCCGCAGTGTGGCCTTTTCACGCAGGGCTAACTTGCGCTACAGTGCCGACGATGGTTCGTCCCGGAGAGACACTTTCGTCCACGCACTTTGAGAGGCGTGCGTGCGGGAAAGGTGCAAATCAAGCATCGGCGGTTGCCAAGGCTGGCGGGCATGTAAAGCTCATCGGCGCGGTCGGAGAGGATGGCGGGGTTGTGCGTCCAACGTCCTGGAGCAGTTGAGAGCATACCGGTTAGGAGCGAAGCAGGGAGATCTTTGTGTTTACAATGAAAGATGGTACATTATGAAGAGTACTTATGCCGTACTGCAACGAGCAATGGATATTTCTTAAGACATTTCAGCTGCGACCCTCATCCTACCAAGGCTGCAGATCTGACTACCTAGGCCCCAACAAGCCCGCGAAACACCTCCAACGCCTCGTTCCTATCGCCCTCAGAGCTCGTCTTCCACGTCCACTCCAGCAGCCCATTGATATATCCACTCAGCGCCTCCAGACTCTCCAGCGTGCCTTTCCCGTCGGCAGCGTCATCATTGCCCGCGAACGCGCCACGCTGGAAACAGTACGCCGCGCCGCACTCGTACGAACGCCGCAGGACGTCCTGCGAGAACGGCCGGCGCACGCGGTCGTACGCGCGCAGGACGTGCGCGAGCGTCGCAGCGCTCGCGAGGGGGTCTGCGAGGAGCGCGGCGAGGAGCAGGCCGTCCTCGACGCCCTGCGCCGCGCCCGACGCCTGGTGGGGCGTCATGGCGTGGGCCTGACGGGACGTGTGTTATTGCAACGTCCTGTGCAAAAAAAAAAAAAAAGCAAGACGCCTAGGGACGTACCGCGTCTCCGATGAGGGCGACGTTGCCGGAGGTGTAGGTGGGCAGGTCGACGACGGAGTTGATGACCCATTTCGAGGGCTCTTTGATGAGCTGCCCGGGGCTGTTAGCGGGGGAATTTAGGTGGGTGCGGGGGACCTACGTCGATGACCGCGTGCACGTAGGGCGACCAGCCGGGGAACTCTGCACGGAGCTCGTCCTGGCTGACCGTCTCGACCCAGGGCTCGCCGTGCAACGTTCCGTTCTTGTCGGGGTGGGAAATAAGTCCACCGCAGTTGATACTCGCACCATTAGAGACGGGGTAGCAGATGAAGTACTGACGTGTCCTCAGTAGCCACGACTCTTCATTGAACGTGGGGTACTCACTTTGTTCTTGCCCGCGAACTGTCACCATTCAACGTCAGTCGCGAGTGCTAACAACCGAGTCTGGCAATGCACATAAATGGGGCCATCAAGTACCGGATGGTCAGGCATCGCTTTCCGCAAGTCTTCAGTGCTAATAACGCCGCGGTACACATACTGCCCCGTCCAGGTGGGCTTCACATGCGCGAGCAGCCGCCCCTTCTCCTTCAGGTCCTCCGCACCGGCAGCGAACCTCTCGTACATCGTGCGGCGCACGGCGCTCTTGATCCCATCCGAGCCGACGAGGAAATCACAGCTGGCGGTCGTGCCGTCCTTGAACGCCAAGACGACTGGCCCCTCGGGAGAGTCGGTGTACGACACGAGTCGCTTGCCAAAGTGCGTGTGGTAGTAGGTCGGAATGTGGCGCAGGAGGACGGCGAGGATGTCGGTGCGGTGGAACGACTGCAGGGCGGCTGAAGCGGACGGTGAGCGCACACGCGAGTAGAGAAAGAAGGGGGTGCTTACAGTGGCTCTGGCCGAAGGGGACGTATTGCTGTTGGTCGCCTTTGGTGTAGCGGAAGGGCTTTCCTGGGGTGCACCTTCGTCAGCAATCTCTCCGCTCGGAAACCATGCGTGGACGGTCTACCAGAGCACGCGAGCGGCTTGAGGTCCTCCTCGAGTCCGAGGAGGCGCATGCTCTCCCAGATGCGCGGCCAGAACCCCATTCCGGCGCCGACCTGGCCGAATGCGGACGCGCTCTCATAGATGTCTACCTCGATGTTCTGTGTGCCGCTCTTGGCGAGCGAGATGGCGAAGGTGAGGCCGACGATCCCGCCGCCACTTTGGAGCACGTGAGCGAAGCAGCCTCGGTTTCTGGACAATCTGTGCACTTACACGATGGCGAGGCGCATCTTCTTGTCGTTAGACATGTTTCGCGAACGTAGGGGTCGCTGTTGGACTGATATGAGGTCTTTAGGTGTGCTTGTGTGTTTCTCGGGTTTGGCTGTGATGCCGCAGCTGGCAGAGCATCTTATACTCGTAGACAGTCGGCAAACACTCGCTTATTCGTCCTGCGCACGAGACCTAGACACTGCCGTCCGTGTAACCCAGGCACTAGCAACGGTAGCTGCCGTATCAACGGACTTCCTCTAGCGTCAAAAGCATAGTGCGTGTGCTATCTCCGATGTGTGTGCGGTGAGCGTCGTTTGGGGAGGGGCGCGAGAAAAGGTTTGGTACAGTAGAGCCCCAGTGTCCGATCCCGGACTGCACGGCAGATCCAACGGGAGTTGTGAATTGCACCGACTAAAGGATGACCGGTAATCATCCATTCACCACTGAGCAGCGCGCTGAGGTCGGTGCATGCCTATGTCGTGGATGCTCTGTATGTATACATGATGAGCATCGCGATTGGATGGGTCCCGCCGACGGCCCCGTTCCTTGCGCTGGCATCGGGTCATGTGAGCGATGTGTCGCGTTTATAAGCTAAGGGCACGTAACTTACGTTGCGTGGTGCCCTCCGCTTCGACCTAGAGAAGCCCGCATCACCGTGTGAGGCTTGACAATGCCGCCTTAAGGTCGTATTGACCACCACCGTCACGTTTGCCGCTTACCGAGCGTCATGATTGGAGTAAGCCGAGAGAGCCTCGTTGAAGCGCTCGGTCGCGCACTGGTGCTTAGGGCACTGCGGCGTACTGTCAGGACAGGATTTAGCCCTCTTTCGTTTCCAACATGAGTGGTTTTGACATGAATGATACTGCAGGCGAACTGTGGAGAGTCCGGCGGCGATCCAACAGTGGCGGCAGTCCAGAAACCTTGGATGGCGATCGCTGCTGGTAAGTTACTGTGTGTTCTGCGGTATTTTCCTCGCGTCGGCTGAACATAGCAGCCTATACGTTGTCAGACATCGACTTTGAGTCAATTAACGCAGCTCACCTCTCAACGCACGGACCACTGCGTGGGAAGATACGCAATGCGTCGACCGGTCTCGAGCCCGACGGAAGTAAAACGAAACATTCTCGAACCGGACGGAGGCAGAATGTAGGGACCACCCTCGAAACTCCCTCGAAAGTGAAGGCAAAACAAAGGTAAACTGCTCGAGAGTATATAAGTAGCAACCTGTAGAGATTTAGACAGACAGACCTTGCCCCACAATTCTCACCAGTGTATTTTCCCTCTCGGCTACGTCAGTACTAGCAGTGCCCAAGAAATATCCCCGTTGTTTTCCCGCAGCTCTTGAGTGCTGGTCCAACTGAAGTTTCCTCGATGAGACAGGCAGCGTTCGCCCTCTAGGTTGTCTGCCCGATACGCAGCAAACTCCGTTGTCGCTAGTTTCGTATTCGTCGACACCGACTCGTCACTCTCCCTCCCTCATAATGCATGAACGCCAGGATAGCTCGAACCAATGCCACGGGGCAGTGAACCTCGAGGAACGCGTCGGACTCGATTCTGTACGACAGCGTCAGCCTCATAAGCCTTGCCATCATAGGGAAGATTATCGTGTGCCATAAGTGCACTGCCGGCGAGACCTGGCATGCGCGGACATCGCGCCGACTGTCCTGGGCCTCTGATGCCTGAATTGAATCCTGCCCCATGCCAAATGTCTGGCTGCTATACGCGACGCAAAGCAATAGATTGAGCTCAGTAAAATGCTATACACTATCGCACTCGCACTACATCCTGGATATTACATAGACGGAGAGGCTCATGAGAGTCCGGGGTCATCGAGAAGTGCGACAGGATAGTCTGGCTGTCGGGTAAAAAAACAAGTTCCTCCAGTACCGCATCGTCCCCGAATCCTTCGCTCTTTCCGACGAACGTCCGAGACTTCGCGTTATACACCTCGAGACTACCGCGATCATCTGCAAAAACAACGTAATCTCCGTTCGGAGAGTATGCAACACGATGGGGCACGTATGACAGCTCGAAGGTGTGGCGTGGCTGGCCCGTCCGCGAGTCGAAAGCGAGGGCCATTTGGTCCCCCTGGCAAACCGCCAGCACCTCGGCACCGTCTGGGGAGAATGCTACAGGGCTTGTCGGCTTTCTCTCGTCGTCGATTGTAAGAAGCTTTTGGCCGGTTACCGCGTCCCAAACCGTCACGCTATTCCTGAGGTATATAGCTCCGGTGACTATGCGATCCCCTTGGCGGGACATTGAGAAGCCGGCTGGGTCATGCCCACTGTGGCGCAATGTAGCGATATGCTTATAGGACTGCATGTCGTAAAGGAACAGGAGAACCTTGCAGGA